TTTTTCTCAGGTACTTTTAAAACAATCGTTCCACAGTGTGGGTAACTCAGAAGTGAAAATCACCCTCATACCTCCTCTAACAGCACACAAGATCACTAACTGATTAAATATAACTGATTGAAAATCTAATTTAATTCATTGCTATTATCATAAAACTAAACCTTTCATGAAATTTTCAACATATTTACCACATATTCATACAAATCATCATCATCATCATCATCATCATGAGAATAACAATGATGTATTAAAAGGAATGCGTACATATTACTCAATGTATGCGTCTCTATGTAGTATATATGCAAGTGTGTATTGAGCAGAAATGATTTATTGATATATATATATATATATATATATATATATATATAATTCTTACTATTAATGAAACATTTGATCACTATATTATCACAATGCTTAATTCACCAACACCAACACACATTGATCATTATCACTAAAACAGCTACTAACAACTATTAATTAGATCGATAAAATTGTATTACAAGTTGTGTGTTTTTTTCTTCATTTTTCTGTATCATGCTGATTTACTATAATATGAAAGGGGTTCATAAAGCAAGCCGCACACAAAAGATGATGTAACTATATACACATACAAGATATTATTATTATTATTATTATTATTATTATTATTATTATTATAGAACCTTGGTATTTGATTCATCATACAGAATGTACAAAAAGGAGCGTGTATATAAAACAGGTAAAGAAGAGAGATCACGGGAAAGTGTACTTTAAGTAAAAGTTAAACACGTGACCATCATCTTGTACTATGTATAATAAAAAGAAAAAAGCAATATATACATACATACATACATACATACATACATAGTAACAAATTATGATTAAACATTTAGATGACAATTAACTTTGAATTGTTAGATTATGTAAAGTTTATAATTATGTCATTGCTCATTTATATTGATTGGTTTCTAAGTAATTAGGTCATTTTTTTTTCTCACGTTCTATTCTATTCTAGATTGATTTTATTCACGTTATATTATATACACGTCATTCATAGTATATAAATACACTTTCAGGATGTTAGGCAATCAGTATGAAACATTGAACTGAAGTTTTATGCGATTTGACATTTGTGTCAATATGGTATATTTTGTAATTGTTAAGAAATTTGTGTTGCCCAACTCATTCGGTGTGGCGCATTTATATATTTGGTGCCCTCCCCCCCCCGTTGTACCAATATTTATGTGTTCAAATAAATAAACAATAAACATTCGGTCTCTATATCATCTAGGTTAATAGTTTCTAGCAATAACATTAGCTTATCGGGATCTGAACTGATCTTCTGTAGGATTGAGATATTTACAGATTGTCGATTACCGAGTAAAGTGATCAGTGTCAAGATATTGGTGGGTATTTTTAATTTAAAATAAAACTTATCAAAGGTTTAACGTATTACATTTGTTGTTAAATCATTCAATGAAGATATTTAAAATAACCGAATTACTTAATTTGATTATAATAATGATCCTTTTGATTGAAGGAATAAACTTCTTAACATTGAATACACTTGGTTACTAAAGGCGTAATAGGTAATGTGATGTGAGGCAATCATAGTACACGAACTGAGCTTTCAAAATTGTGTTTAATAAATGATCGAAAAGATTTATAGCTCAGGTAGATGATTTTGGTGGAGTTTTGTCCTCTGAGCTGGATGGTTTAGTCGTGTGTTTAATAATTAATGATAACTTGGTACAAAGTAAAGTTGACTTTAAAGGAATTGAGAGATGAAAATTTAGTTAATGGTCTAAACCAGTAAGTTTCGATGATCTTGATAGAGAATGAGCTTAAACGATGTTAAAAATAATAATTCATCAAAAAAGCTTAACCGATAATTGTACTACACAATGAATTTTAATTGTACCTAAATTAATGGTTAGTCTGGTTGTCAGTAAGAGCATCAGACTCGTGACTTCCGAAGGAACGCGGCTTTCATCATGAGAAATTATAACTCTTCGAAACGAAAATCTTCTCACTCCGTGGACAGAGTTAAATGGTTCGGATGATTTTTTTCTGGTTAGCTGAAGAGCCCCACAATGGGACGAAATGGCCGTCCAGTGTATCCAGGTTTCCAACGGTGGTCTAGCACCAATCAGTTCATGATCTCAACCAAAAGCTTAATAACATCCACAACCCCTGTACTGATAATTTCTTTTGTGAGTTTTGTACAGGACGGGGTCGCTCACTCCATGCCCAAACCTTCCTCCTTTACCCGGGATTGAGACAGGCAGTAGCCCCAGAGGGGATCCAGGCGGAGTCAGAATTTTCAATACAAATATCAAAACAGTTCTACTGTATGGGAAGGGAACTTGGACAACTACGAAAACCAGTATTCAGAAGACAGATGTGTTTATTAACAGCTGTCTATGCAAAATATTTCGAATCCGTTGGCCAGACACTATCATCAACAACCTAGGCATAGAGAGTTCATCATTTGTGTGTGGGCTGTGATACTGCCCGGGTGCCCAAACCGAAGCAGGTGGTTATCTTAGGGGGCCACTTCTCGAGCCTTTGACCTAAAGGTCTAACCCACAAGGCAGCAACAACCTACTGTAGGAGGGAATAAACCAGATCCCAGTGGAGGAAGAAATTAAGAAAACGTTCTGGAAGTGGGGAGGATACATATTGAGGAAAGCGTCCAACTGCGTCAAAGGCAAGCCCTCGCTTGGAATCCTCAAGGCCAAAGGAAAAGAGGAAGACCAAATAACACGTTACGTCGAGAAATGGTGACAGACATGAGAAGAATGAACAACAGTTGGATATAACTAGAAAGATAAGCCCAGGATAGAGTGAGTTGAAGAATGCTGGTCGGCGGACTATGCTCCGTTGGGGGTAACAGGCGTAAGTAATTACTGAGTGAATTTTAACCTTTGAAAACAAAGAAACATGACTGAAATAATGACTGTATCACCTAGAGAAAGTTTGACTAATTTCGCTAAGATGAAATAAATGAACTAGATTTCAACTATTGAGAATATTAAAGAAAAAACAGAGATTTATATTGAATTCAACTAGATGAGGAAAGTATTACGTAATTACACTATTTTCTAAGATACAAAAAGAATTAACTGATTGATGAGAAGAGGAAAATCAAACATTATTTTACATAGCAATTTAAGGTGATTCTGTCTCAACCAACTTCAACAAATCTTTTATGAATTCTATTCATTAACTTTCAGTTGTAATAGTAGTAGAATTCAGGACGCGTGTTTCGTCCTAATAATTGGCTACCAGGACTCAGTAGCTAAGTGAATAATGCGATGGCGTTTGAAGCGAACGGTACTGGGTTCGAGTCTCAGAATGAACATCAACTCTGAGTGTTATGGCTTTAGGTTGCGGTCGATTTCTACCCTGTGCTAATTGTTGTGTCCTTGACTGGAAAATTAGAGAGCAGCGTACTTATCGATCGATTACAGTGACACGTAAACACGAACGGACGGCCTAGAGTCTCGATTGGTCTCGCTTCCCTGTCTAGCCCAGTCAGTTGAGTCCAGAACACAAGCCACAGCCTCGGAGATATGAATCATTATATTTCAAACATACTTTGTTTATATACCAATCAAGCATACCACATCGTACCATAAAATAGAAAACAACATTTTGTACAATATTCAACAAGTGAACAGATATCGACCAATAGGAAATACCCATTTAAAGTCCAAGGACACCATTGGACTTAACATGATAATTATTGGTCTATTCCTCCGCATCCACAACACTGAGGCGCGGCTACACTCGGCTGACGAGTCCTAAATAAGACGAAACGCTCTTTGTTCTGGATTCCACTACTAGCTACTATTTATCTTTGCTTATAACGCTTATGAATTAGGGCGACGTAGACGTAATACACACATTATGTCTATATGGCAATAAGAGACTGAACAATTGCAGTCCTAAACATCAATGGGGAGATTCAAGTAAACAACACGAATTGAATTAATTTAAATAAGCAAAAATATCCCCTGGTTTCTTTCAATACTTCTTCTTCTTCTTAACAAGATTAGCTTTAATGAATAGCTAAGAGTTAAAAGATAGTCAAACTGATGTATATAGTATTGCAGCTGTCGTTGAAGTTATCATCGTACATCTCGCATTCCATAACATAGATTTATCGGGAGTAACTCAACAATAAATATTTTCACAAGTTGAAATCATGAGTCAATTGAAGCTAGACTACCATGGAAAACCTGGAAGCACTGGACGGCCGTTTCGTCCTGGTATGGGACTCCTCAGCAGTGCGCATCCACGACCCCGCACCTCGCGGGATTCGAACCCAGGACCTTATGGTTTCGCGCGCGAGCACTTGACCACTAGACCACTGAGCCGGCATCCAACGGTGTTAATGTCTAACTTCAACCAATCCACGAAGTTGCGCCACCGTATTCATGATTTCAACTTGTGAAATTTCTAAAAATCTCCACAAAACCCATTCTGATAATAATAAATATTTTGTCTAAAAATTCGAAATGATAACTACTAAAACTAGTTTTTTGGGTGAGGTAGTGATGTGAATGGAGTTTCCGGGGTGAACAAATATATTGCCCAACAAAATTTGCATCACTTACATTTGAAACAAGAATACCACTACCGATCAAGAAAGTGGAGGGGGTTTTGTTTACGAAAATGAGAGGACGAAAAGCGAATGTCCGGCGCTTTAACCGGATCTCAAACCAATGGTGCACATGGGCTCCAGTATCCTGGGTGAACGAATGGCGTATGAACCAATCGTTGGCTACCATGGGAATGCATCTCCTCACGATGTTCCACTGTCTTGTGGGTTAAACCTTTAGGTCAAAGGCTCGGGGAGTGGCCACCTAAGAAAATTACCTGCTTCGGTCTAGGCACCCGGGCAGTATCACAACCCACACACACACACATGGTGTGGCGCATATGTATTCGGTGCTCTCTTGTACCAATATTTATATGTTGAAATAAATAATAAATGTAAGAAAGTATCAACTTACCCTTGACCAATTTTTTCTAATCTTTGATATTTTCTATTTGGATCACCAATACTAACAATCATTCGAAGTTTTTCTTGTATCATTTCATCAGTCATTTTAGATTTACATTTTTTATTTAAATTATTACGTTCTAATGTACTAGTTGTATGGTTATTATCATGATTACTATGATTAGTATTATTATCCATAGGGTTATTATTCATAGTATTTGATGAGATTTGTTGATGATTTATTGATTTAACTGTACATGTTGTAGTTGAAGTATTAATAGTATTATGAAAATTATGTTGACTACAAGTAAGAGAATGATTATGTATAGAGGTGATAGTAGTCATGGGCATTGTTGTTGTTGATGATGATGTCATGGATATTGATGTATTTGTTTGATTGATTGTTGATCGAATATTATTAATATCAGTATTCGTAGAAGAGGTAATAGTTGTACAAATAGAATTTGTCATTTTATTATGATCATCTACAATAGTAGGGATAGTAGGTGTATTATTATTAGTTAATAACATTGTTGTAGATTCATCATCGAATTCATAAGAATTAGATTTTTTCATTGATAAAATAGTAAGATCAGTTGATTGTAAATAAACATTTGGAAGTTGTACTGATGTTGAATTGATACTTATAGATGAATCATCGTTATAATTGATGGGTTGAATGGTTGAATTGATATCTTCACCAACTGGTTGAGTGTACTAAAACAATAAATAGTAGTAGAAATAATAAGAGAATGATATCATTAAATTATATTTACATGATAATGAATAGTAGTAGATATTACATAAGAGTTACTGCATAATCAACTCCGCCTGGAGCCCCTTTGGGACTACTGCCGGTTCCCAAGCCCGGATAAAGGAGGAGGGTTGGGTATGGGGTTGGAGACCCTTTCCCGTAGAAAACTGACTCGCTAAAAAAACACTAGCCAGAAAAAAATTATTCAAACCATTTAACCTTTGTCGCGGCCCGGATAGTTCAGTGGTAACGTCTCCAACTGTGAAGCTGGGTGGCATGGGATCGAATCCGCCAGGGAGCACCAGTTCCCTCAAGATTACAGGTATACCTTGCTGACGAGTGCCAAGTAGCACGAAACCCGGGTCCAAGGTTTCCTGTCGACTACTTCCAACCACCATCTAATCTGTCCTGGGAGTTAGAAGGTCTGATGCTGCTTCTGGCAACCAGAGCAATAATTTGTTTAGGTACATGGAATACTCATAAATGTGGGAGACCGGAAGAGTCTTCCGAAATGTTGCTGCCTATTACATAATCTAAAAGTAATTTTCATCAAGAACTAATAACACTAGCGCAATACACGTATACAGAAATAATGAATATCTATTGTGATTAGGAATAAAAACATCCATTAAAATTGTATGAAACTGGTAGATAATGATTACAGTGAATTATATGTATATATAAGCTCACTATTTCTTAACAGAAGTTGTGTTTTGTACAATCGAATGAATTGGAAATGGACCAGTTCTCGTTGCTAATGATTCAAAAAACACATAAATCGATTACAATAACTCAGCAACTAAATATCATTTCCCCAAATGCTCTGGTATGATCGCGAGTGAGGAGAGTTAACTCTCCTTCTCAAAATCCTCTCACATGACCACGCGTATACAGCCACTACAAAGGAGGTCCTATTGAAATGATGGGAAGAAAAGTCCGAGTGCGATTGATTTACTCATTATGAGTTTTGTTCAACATTACTTCTGTTTTCTAATTCAATGTGAAAATTATTCAGTATAGTATTTGTTTCTGTTTCCCAGAGTGATATTTTATTCTGCATAACATACGATATTCTTTTATTCCATTGACTATGAACTATACTCAGCATATGATTTGTTATAACTGTGAGTATTTTCTATATATATGATTTCATCCTAATTATTAATCAAAGTCTATGTACAATCAATATATAAATGAGTGTGCTTTCGACTAAGGTCGTCATCGTCGTCGTGTTTTAGTTAATAAATCTTAATTTTTATCAGTCTTTGTGTTCTTAATTTCGTGTCGTGGGAATTGAGGAAGTCCCTTGTTTCCAGTATAAATGATAAGCGTTTCCAACACAACAATCATTGACGACCAGATATAACAAGTAGCGTTCAATCGATAAGACATATTATCTACTCACTGTCTCCTCGCCGTTTTACTGTTGGTTATGAAATTCAGAGGACGAAAAGAGAATGTCCTTTGCTTTAACCGGGTTGTTGGATATGGAAGATCCACCTAGTTGGGTTGGAAACCCTCATTCCAAACCAATGATACACATAGGCTCCAGTATCCTGAAAGAACAAATGGCGTACGAACCTATTGTTAGTCACCGACTACCATGTGACTGTATCTACTGTCGTTCCTCCACTACCTTGTGGATTAGACCTGTAGGCCGAAGGCTCCGAGTGTGTCCTCCCAAGAAAATCACTTGCTTCGGTTTGGGCACCCGATCAGTATCCTAGCCCTTACACAAATTGAATTATTTACATGGCGCATATTTATTCGGTACTCTTTTGCACAAATATTTATTTGTTCAAAAAAAAAAATAAAATACTGAATATCTTACTTCATATCATACTACTAATAGTACTATTATCACTAATGTAAACACCATGTTTTTTTAAGAAAAAAGAGTTAAACAGAACACGCATATTACACTGGTGGTAGGCAAACAAGACAACAGAAAAAAATGGGGAAGTAAAGATGTGTATTTCAATTCTCCTAAGTATGACAACATATCGTTATTATTGCTACTTTTACGACTGATCATCTTATCCCCCTCTCTCTCTCTTTCCTTATTGACATAACTAACTTTGTATAGGTTTATAACAAAATTATCCATATTATACATTGCAATCTATAAATAAATAGCCTACAAGCAAATACAAATGAAATCACTTTTTTTTTTGAAGAAAAAAAGTAGGGGGGAAGATTTAACGGTACACACATACGAGAAATGGATAGATACAAAACACATATGAACTAATAAAACTTTAAAAATAAAACAAAGTTCTTTCCAAAAAACTTGGTATTGATTATACAACAGTGCTATGTATCGGTGGGGGGGGGTGGTTATTTGATAATCTCGGTGACAGTTTTTTACTTTTTAATTCTATCTACATCTATCCAGCTAATAATTATTGCCATCATCGGATACAAATAATTTAGTTATAGCTTAATGTGTGTTTTTGTTGTTGTTGTGGGAGACAGGGTGCTGGTGGTGGTGGCGGTCGGTAACAGATATCTTCTTATGAATAATGTTAAATAACCATATAAATAAGTACGTCAATCTAATTAATAATATCCAACTTAACATGAAAACATACAATTTCAATTTTCCTTCTTCACATATTAATAATATACATCTGTAAAAGTGAATCTGCTGAAGTGTATTTCAACGGAAAATGAATGATACACACATAATTTAAATAAATTAATCATATTAGTAATAAGCAAAGATAGATAGTGGCTAGCAGTTGAATCTAAGACGCGCGTTTCTTCCTATTTGAGACTCATCAGCTGGATGTACCTGCATCCTAGAGTTGATGTTCACTATGCGACTCCAACTTCATACCGTTCGCACTAAACGCCATTTCCTTATCCATTTAGCTACTGAGTTGTGATAGCCACTTGCTTACGCAATCGGGTGATCTTTGCTTACAATGTTTATGAATTAAGGCAATATCGATGCAATACACAGAGTATGCACATAATAATAAGAGACTGATCAATTGCAGTTATAAACATCAATGGGAAAATTCAAGCAAAACAATATCAAGCGAATGTTAATAAAAATTTATGGCGCATTCATCTATGAATAAATGTGTTATTTCTTACACAGATGTAATCGAAACCAACATGAATAAGTAGTATAAAATGAAAATGAAAAAGTGTAGAGATAACAGGACATAGATTGAAAAGAATTCCTCTGATGCTTGATGAGTAAGGGTAAACTAAAAAAAAGTTAGGATTAAACAAACGGAAACGTAGCATCAGTCCAAGAAATTACTGTCTATTGGTCTGAATCATGTTGGTAGGTTGAAACTATAAGTTTGGGGGTCTGAAACATAACCATGATCAGTAGTTGGAGAAGTTTGATAACACGGGTCAGAATTAGTCACAGCAATACAGATTCATTTACTCTTTATCTTATCCTATATCTTGAGTTCCAGTAATCCTTCATATATATATATATATATATATATATATATATATATATATATATATATATATATAGTCACCTGAGCTCCAACCAAGTAGTCTGCATCTGCCAACAATGCACAAACCAGAAGTTAGTAACTTCAAGCACTGATGCTACGTTTTAGTTTGGCCACCCCTAACTTTATTCCAACCATTCCCAACACCGGTTAGTATTGCACGACGTGGTAATCGGTGTTCAGGCATACGTAACACGTGGCCCAATCATCTCAGTCGATGAAGATTTACAACCTCATCAACTGATTTACCAAGCTCAACATCTTGCTGATTCTATTTCATCGCACTAAAATGATATGGTAACTTGGCATAATACACATTTTTGCCAGGTTCAATGTTGATTATAAGTGTTACCAAGAATGAAATAAACTCTTTTTACAGTATTTTCATCAAGTTTTAATAAACAAATAGAATAGTTTGATGATGCACATCACATAAACGTAAACAAATACACATATAAGTACACTATATGCCTAGAAAAATTAAGAATACATTTTCAAATCAACAAGAAGAACGAATAAACAAAATGAATATGTAAACTTTATCCAAGATTAAAAGAATGAAGGCATCATTAAAAGTGGTTCATTATCATAAATATAAATGAAGATACAATGCATAGCAAGCTTATTTATATAGCGACCTCTTCATTATCTTATATTAGTTTTATAGAAAAATATAGAATTTCATATATATCGTAGTGATAAATGGTGAGTTTGAACTCTATGTGTATAACAACATTAAGATTTGATAAACATATCTAGCTATTAAGTCCAAAATAAGAAGAAACGATATGTTCTGGAGTTCACTGGTTAGCGAATTTTTTTTTTAGCGAGTTAGTTGTCTACAAGATGGGGTCGCTAACCCCATGCCCAACTCTCCTCTTTTATCCGGGCTTGGGATATGCATTAGTGATAAACGGTGAATTTGAACTCTATGTGTATAACAACATTGAGATTTGATAAACATATCTAGGAAAAAACGATATGTTCTGGAGTTCACTACTAACCACAATTCAGTTTTATTATGTCAACAACATTCATTTTAATGTTATGTGATTATCAACAGTATTCTAACCAATAACAATTTAGTCTAATACTGTGTCAGTACTGTTTAGAAGAAGATATTATTTACCATATAATCTAATGATAAGTTTAACTATGCAACTAATGAAAACAACTCTGCTTTGAATGCTGTATCGAGTTCAATTATCTGTGCAACGATAAACACATCTCATTAAAATGAAATAAACTTATCATATAAAAGTTACTAGATTCCATCAACACTGTATTTGTTTGTACAACAAGAATGTAAAAAATGGAACAATTCTGTTGTGTTAGCTACATTAAAATGTACACAAAATTGGGATATAACAAACGAATAGAGATCGTGACACAATTCAAGCCAGACTATCATTAAAAACCTGGAAGCATTGATGCTCCACAATAGGATGAAACAATCATCCATTGCTTTCAAGTTTTCCATG